CAGGACAAGCATTAGTAATGATGACATTGTAAAATTTACTTTTCAGTTGGATATGTCTCAGCCAGCAACATCCAAACAGAGTAAGCGACTCGGAAAGTTTTTTTTTTTGTAAATTGTTTTGTCAATGTGTGAATATGCAAATGAAATTTTTTACTTTTTTTTTTTTAGTGATGAGGTCTATGATGACATTGGAGATGGTACGTAGCAAACTGATTAACCTAAACATTATGTGAAAATGTAAAATATGAATTATCCTACTAGATGGGATGTAATTTAAAACGGGCAGAATGCAGACCTTATTATTAAAACAGATAAATAATCACTTAACACTTTTACAGACTGCATCTATGACAACGACTGAAGACCTCACACCATCATCATAATCTCATCTTCTGGTGCAGCTTATTATTTCTGGCGCTGATTATCTTCTTGGTTGTTGATGTTGAGTATATTTATTGTATAGACACATGTAGTATTCGGTTGAAATAAACAGCCTAGTGCCATCATGATATCATACTTACCTTGCCTCAGTAAAAATAAATGGCTTCTTGCCAAAATTGGCCTCAAAATATAGGTTTTCAAAGACTTTCACTTTCTTTTTCCTATCATGTGTTTGATAAATCGAGCTGAAACTAATTCTAAGACGCATATTTGTTCCTGAGTGAAAGGCAGTATTTTGTAACCAGTCTTAATTTGATCATTTACTTGTGTTTCTGTAAATATTACACTGCAAAAGACTGAACCGTTTTCATCACTTGCTAATAAATGTACACATTTGCACCCATTTTAAATTCAGAATGCTAATTACGTTGATTGAACAATGTTTACATCTGTGCTCACTTAATTTACGAACAGAAAATTTGATCAAATTTTGTGTCTGGAAAATAATTATCTGTGGCGATGTATTATGGTGAATATATCAAAGTTTTTGTGTCTATTTGTTAATGAGGGATTTGTGGACGCATGAATGTTTTTAGATTTGTGCAGTAGCCCCTCACTGCAGCACAAAGATCCAGGGGGCGGGGTTGGAGCCACATCTAGGGGGTGGAGATGGGTGGGTTTAGGGATATGTAAGGTAGGAGGAGTTGGATCTGGATCCAACCTTGCCCCCTGGATCTTGTGTTCTGCAGTGAGGACCATTTGTGGAGTATTCTCCACAATTATGGAATTCTACTTCTAATTCTAGTTCATTTTGAACTATTTGCAAATGATTTTTTAAAATATGAACACATTCATATTACACAACTCTTATCTGTATGTCTAATATGTCGCAAAACGCCTAATGTTTCTTGTCTCGTCACTTTGTTAATAATGGAAAAGGTACCAAAACGACCATATTTGAGAAAAATGTCCAGCAGTTTGCATCGCTTGATATAACTGTCGGTCGTTTTAACTTTTCTATCGTTAAACAGCTGTCAAATATTAGTTGTTTTGATGTTTACATAGTGTTACTTCCAACTTACCTCATTCTAATTCAACGCTAAACCCGGCTTCGCGCTGGCGCGCTCTCCTTCTGTCAACAGTAAGCCCCGCCTACTTTGATTTGATCGGCCATCTCAATCATGTTGGCATTGACTAGCAGTGTTGGGGGTAACGCATTACAAGTAACGCGAGTTACGTAATCAGATTACTTTCCCCAAGTAACTAGTAAAGTAACGCATTACTTTTTAATTGACAAGAATATCTGAGTTACTTTTTAAAATAAGTAACGCAAGTTACTTTTTTTCCAATTGATTGATTGACAGCTCTCCTGTCCCCTTGTTGAGAGAAATCAGATGTTACTGTAGTTCTAAAATAAATATGAATATGTATTAATTCATCTCACTCACAAAAAAAAAGATTCAGTATTCCTCAAAATGAATAAAAATAATGCAACTCAGACTATGACGCAAATCTGCAATAATTAAATGTTAAACAGCACAAATATCCTTTAATTCCCATTCTATTAACCAATGTCTTTGCTTCTGACCTTCGATGATCCAGTTCAACCGTACTAATAAGCACAAATTACTCTAGACAAACATTTGCATGTCTTTGTTTATTGCTGAAGTGTGTTGAAATGTCTTCTTCTGCATTCTACTGTACGGACGTAAATGTACTTTCCCTTCAGCCTGAGGCTTATTCATTTCACTTTTGGTGTGAAAAGGCTTTTATATTTGCCCCCAAAAAAATCTATTTTAAAAACAAACAAGCAAGCCCTGTCCAGATTTAAAAAGTAACGCATTACTTTCCATAAACGTAATTAGTTACTTTTTAATGGAGTAACGCAATATTGTAATGCATTACTTTTAAAAGTAACTTTCCCCAACACTGTTGACTAGTGTTGTTAGACCACCATAAAAAAATTTACTTTTAAATATTTTTGTCATCCTAACAACAAACAGTGGGCTGGGTATTGGGAGTGCAGCAGCACAGTACAAAAACAAAATAAATATATTTGGCCATTTCTAATTATTGGGAGCAACTTGAGTCCCCCTCAATGTCTATGGTAGTTACGGGCTTCTGAATGAATTTTTGTAGTTGATTCAAAATATCTCTAGCTATTGCTCTTCGAGAGTGTAATAATGTTATGACATAATTTTTGTTGTCAGATTTAGCCACAATGTCGCTGTATAAGGAACTATAACAAGTTATATAACAAATAATGTTTCTGCCCCCCCAAAGAACACAGGTTTTATGTCTTAAAAAAAAATGTCAGAGCAACATTATGAAAAAATCCTATTTTTATGGAATATTGCAGTGTTTATTAAATAAATAACATAAATGATTTATCTGTGCACTTGTAATTTAGTAAAATTCAAGTGTACTTGTAACCTTTAATAGTAACCCCTCCTCACAATGACATCTCTTCTCTGATGACACAAGGGCTGGACAAAAATCCAGTTGAGAAGCCATTTCACTCAGATATACATCATCATTCACCATAAATTATTAATAATTCTGCTTAATTGCTCTGAAGATGTTATAACAACAAAATACAGGAGAAACAAAAGAAGGAAAACAACAGTACAACAAAATGGAAACCAGCCTTTATATTTGGTGTTTCTGTAGTCCTACACTGAGAAAGAATAACTTCTTTATAACTTCGAAAACAGTTTGTGGATTTTACATTGAGCACAGTAGCCATGCACAATGCACAGTAAATAACATGGGATACTGGTGACAGCTTGTTAGCTTACAAAAATAAGATATTATGTACAAAAGTTTTTCAACCGTTCACAAAACATTACAGGTATTGCAGATTCTCTCCTCTCCAAAAAGAAACATTGAAACAATTCACAATAGTTTCTAAGTATGAATCAGTTCTTATTAAAAAAGTTGTCATCTTTTGTCCTAAATGTGCACTTTTTATGTACAATATGATTCAGACACTGCTTTTAAAGAGCATGTATTAAACATCTATCAAATAACTTTACTGTTAAGTAGATATGCTTACACAATTTACCTCAAGAGTGAAAACATCCTTGGCTGAATTGTTGTACTAGTACCATTTCTGTACATCTGTGACTGTACATCAATATTCCTGCTCATATGTATCCAAAACTGCATCTTATAGGACAGTGTGAACATGTGCAAGAAACAATGTGGTAATCTTCCAGATGGCTGATATTTGTATTTGCGTGCTTAAAATAATATCCCTCATGCTATGGAGTATGATTATCTGTCTAAGCACAAGTGTATGTAGGTATAAAATTATGCATAGACTGAAAGAAAGAAAAAAATAGGACGATAGAATGATAGAACGATAGATAGAACGATAGAACGATCGATAGATAGATAGATAGATAGATAGATAGATAGATAGATAGATAGATAGATAGATAGATAGATAAAAAAATTATATCTTTGGCTGCAAAAAAATTATTTGAAATGTCTGCATATCTCTATCCAATACTAACACAATGTGTCTGTCTGTGAGCAGAAAACCAATAAATAGATTTATGCCCAACAATTCTGTCCTTTTATGTTTGATAAGACTAAACCTCTCAAGAGGTCTGGGCTAGTGCATTTATCCATGTATGTCATTTAATAATAATTTTTGCATTTTAGAGGCATGCATTTAAAATACAACATCATTTAAAGCATCAGTCTAACATCTAACCTCGCTAATCAAAGTCTGTCTTATGTCTGAGAGGAAACAGTGTCCTTTAGCTTTCATTCTCTGTCAGCTTAACCACTAGGCACCCAGCAGCACAAGATTTCAGTCCAAGAGATGCAACAAACGGGAACGTCCAAGAACTTGAAGAGAAATGTCTGATCTCACGTTGAACTGAAAGGCTTAAATCGTTGTGGAAGGCTCAGGGTGACTGAAAAAGCTTTAGGTGTACATAGACAAAAACAGGATGTCAGTGCAACAGTTTCTAATACTTTCAGTTCATCGTGTGTTGGCAGTCGGAGCTGAACACCTAAAAAAAGAGGAGAACAAAACAGAAGCTGGAGATCTCACATAACAGATCCATCAAATTTCATGTAGCTTCAAAATATTATACCTGTAAGTGTGTCCTGATATGACGGCCTCCAATGGCAAGCTTCCATTATGAACCTTCTTTACACTTGTCAGGTATCCGGTGGTCCATCAACCCCCTCAGATGTGGGATGAAGGACAGAGGCATCAAGAAAGCAGGGCGCACACAAACACACACATATATTTGTGTCATATAAGATATAGGGAAAAGAGGTGCAGCGGTTCGTGGAGGCCATTCAGTGCAGGTGAAGTCAATGTTATTTATGACTGGGGCTGATCACAGTCGGGGTTGGAGGGTAAACTAGTGCCACGTTGACCCGCTCCGAGCCATTCTTGGGGCAGATGATCTCAGTAAGTCCCTCAGGTCGGGGCTGGCTTAACAGCTCACCTATAATGCCAACAAAAAGATAAAATAGTTTTTAAGTCACACTGATTTACACAATGTAACATTTCACAGAAGATTTTACATGGCTCCAGAATTTAAAATAATTGACGATCGATAGATAGATAGATAGATAGATAGATAAAAAAATTATATCTTTGGCTGCAAAAAAATTATTTGAAATGTCTGCATATCTCTATCCAATACTAACACAATGTGTCTGTCTGTGAGCAGAAAACCAATAAATAGATTTATGCCCAACAATTCTGTCCTTTTATGTTTGATAAGACTAAACCTCTCAAGAGGTCTGGGCTAGTGCATTTATCCATGTATGTCATTTAATAATAATTTTTGCATTTTAGAGGCATGCATTTAAAATACAACATCATTTAAAGCATCAGTCTAACATCTAACCTCGCTAATCAAAGTCTGTCTTATGTCTGAGAGGAAACAGTGTCCTTTAGCTTTCATTCTCTGTCAGCTTAACCACTAGGCACCCAGCAGCACAAGATTTCAGTCCAAGAGATGCAACAAACGGGAACGTCCAAGAACTTGAAGAGAAATGTCTGATCTCACGTTGAACTGAAAGGCTTAAATCGTTGTGGAAGGCTCAGGGTGACTGAAAAAGCTTTAGGTGTACATAGACAAAAACAGGATGTCAGTGCAACAGTTTCTAATACTTTCAGTTCATCGTGTGTTGGCAGTCGGAGCTGAACACCTAAAAAAAGAGGAGAACAAAACAGAAGCTGGAGATCTCACATAACAGATCCATCAAATTTCATGTAGCTTCAAAATATTATACCTGTAAGTGTGTCCTGATATGACGGCCTCCAATGGCAAGCTTCCATTATGAACCTTCTTTACACTTGTCAGGTATCCGGTGGTCCATCAACCCCCTCAGATGTGGGATGAAGGACAGAGGCATCAAGAAAGCAGGGCGCACACAAACACACACATATATTTGTGTCATATAAGATATAGGGAAAAGAGGTGCAGCGGTTCGTGGAGGCCATTCAGTGCAGGTGAAGTCAATGTTATTTATGACTGGGGCTGATCACAGTCGGGGTTGGAGGGTAAACTAGTGCCACGTTGACCCGCTCCGAGCCATTCTTGGGGCAGATGATCTCAGTAAGTCCCTCAGGTCGGGGCTGGCTTAACAGCTCACCTATAATGCCAACAAAAAGATAAAATAGTTTTTAAGTCACACTGATTTACACAATGTAACATTTCACAGAAGATTTTACATGGCTCCAGAATTTAAAATAATTGGTGCACCAAAATAATTTTTTTAAATTAAAAATTACAGAATCACTTGATAAATAACACCGCCCTGCATTATATTTGCTGAATGAAATCCAACACTCGTTTCTTACTAATTTTGGGGTGCTTGTTTTTATTTTTCTAGCATCTCACACTTTCTCTCAAATTATGATATGCATTTCGTGGAATTTTGCTTTCGACAACCAGGTGACGAAGTCTTGTATTATTCCATAATCACCAGAAAAACTACCACAAAAGACATGATTCATATCTTCCTCTGAGCCAGATTGCAACTATTTGTTACATTTTCAGTCAGACTGCACATGTATGATTGATTCTGAAGACATTATTTTGTGCCTAATCTTGATTTCAAGGTTAGAATTATGGCCAGGGACAGAATAAAAAACAAACATGACCCTGATGTTTTACTACATCCAAGGAGTGACAGAAAATGACAGATTTTGTAGGAAAAGCGTATTTATTAATACTTATTAAAGTTCTTTGACATTCAATGGAGAGTTTGAACATTTTTCCACTCCTTTGCATATTGTAAGTACAAATGATACAATTTGTATCCATCTTTTAGTCATTTCATGAATCTTTTTGACTGACTCATTAAAAATAAGATATGATAGGAGTGAAATAATGTTGGCTGGTGGGTGGCTTCCACAAATTTGGAAGCCACCCACCAGCCAACATTATTTTACCTTTTTTTTTAATTATGGCATTCCTAATGAAAACCTACATTACTATTACCATTACAAATCTCCACCAACAAGAGCTCTTGTTTGATTATGTCATTCACAATGCCCCATGGGATTGTAGTTCTTTCTCTCATTCAAGCCGTTTGGCTTGTCCGATTTTTGCATATGGTCTCACACAAAGCTATCCTTTTGCCAATGGTGACTAGATTCTGAATTACTGACACAAATCTTTATGGTTTATTACTATATCCATCCTTATATAAAGTATTATTCCATTTATATCCAAATTGTCTCAAATGTTCTATAGGAGCGCCTTCAAAATCTACCACAAGGTGGCGATGTTTAACAAGCTTTTACCTGATGTGAAAGAAGTCTTGCTGTCCCCAATAAATCACCTTACACAATGGGCTTACAATAAGGGCTAAAGCTATTAAAGCTTATTCTATTTATCATTTAAAACTCACTGATCCTCTGAAGAACCAGTTCCCGAAATACTGTAGAAGAGCATCTGTACGCCTTTATGAAGTAGATTATGACAGCTCGGCTTCAGGACGCAAAACCTGATGGTGATAAAGTCTCTTAACGTCTATGGTACAAAAACAAGCACGTTAAGTCCAGCCTAAGCAGCCTGAATTGATAGGAGGGCCGTCCATGTCTATAAATAGAGACCTGTAATGAAGGATTCCAGTGTGCTACTCAGCAAGTCAGTAAGCAAATGGGCACGTTCTGAGTACTTAAAGGGGATCAGACAAACGGCAGGAAGACAAAGAATTACATCATGTGTCAATCCCAGAGATTATAGACTGCAGTCATCTGCACATCTGCTTCCATGTGATTTTGAATTCACTTTGAAACAAAAAGCCAAAATCTTCTTGATTTCATCAGATCTCATTTTCTTTTAAAACAAGAAACCAAGATGAAGAAAAAAAAACTTGAACTATTCTGAACATATTGTTATGTCACAGCAAAATAGTAATCTCTAATATTAAAAACATTTTCTATGCAGTGTATATAGGATGTTACTTGTGACCAAATGTTTTAAAGGGAATTGAATACATTTGCGCCAAAAAGCATTCAGACACTCAAAGTAGGCATGAAACATAAATTGTAATAATCTTTTCTGCACTATTTTGCCGTATATATGACTGCAGCAGCTTCTCGGGGGAAAAAAATGTATGACAGGACTTGATTTTGCCCATTGAGAAATTATTGGATCTTTGAATCTTTGTTGTTTGCGTTAATGTTTTTGATTAAAGACTATGAGGGCACATGAATTAAAAAACAAAGATGTGCATTGACAAACACTGCAATTTTGATTACATGACAACTTAAAGCAACACTTAAAGGGATAGTTCACCCAAAAATGAAAATTTTATGTTTATCTGCTTACCCCCAGGGCATCCAAGATGTAGGTGACTTTGTTTCTTCAGTAGAATACATATGGTGATTTTTAACTTTAACCGTAGCAATCTATCAGTCGTATAATGCATGGCAATGGTAACAAAATCTATGAGAGTAAAAAAAACATGCACAGACAAATCCAAATTAAACCCTGCGGCTCGTGACGACACACTGATATCCTAACACACGAAATGATCAGTTTGTGCTAGAAACCGAACAGTATTTATATAATTTATAATATATAATACACCACTATGTCCAACTGTCTTTGGGCGAGCGCACGGCATCCTGTGCGTGAGGTGTGTATGCGCTCTGGCGTAGTTTACGCAAGCGCCGGAAGTGATCGCTCGCACGTATACGTCACTCATTGTTTACACGGTGCACAGTCATTGTAGGTGCGGCGGCTAATCAAAATGGTACTTACTTGCGCTTATCCGGATTGTTCAAACCGACTTAAAACTAAAAGATTACTTTCTCTCACGCAAACTCATTTGGGAGTGGTGACTTTCCACATATTCCTAACTTCTGAGCCTGCTCGCCTGAAGTTATAGTTGATTGCTCTTCGGCTGGATATCAATACACCCATTAACGTAAACTACGCCAGAGCGCGTACACACCTCACGCACCGGATGCCGTGCGTGCGCCCAAAGACATAGTGGTGTATTAGAGGCAAAAAATTATATAAATACTGTTCGGTTTCTGACAAAGTCACCTACATCTTGGATGCCCTGGGGGTAAGCAGATAAACATCAAATTTTCATTTTTGGATGAACTATCCCTTTAAATAAATGTATTATTTTAAGACATGATGAATCAAATCTTACACATTTTTTTTAATACTTTTTTTAGTGGAAGTATGAAGTCTGTTTCCCCTCTAATTCACCTCAAAATCTTTCTAAATGCTGCTTAATACGATATTTTACATTTTAACAACAAGCCTACTTTTTTTTTTTTAAATGTAGATTTAAAAGTCCAAATACTTTTTCAAATACAAAAACTGTAGATTCCTTTATTTGTTACCTTAGCTTGCATGAAGTATCACCCCCACAGACTAAATGTAGATTTAAAAGTCCAAATACTTTTTCAAATACAAAAACTGTAGATTCATTTATTTGTTACCTTAGCTTGCATGAAGTATCACCCCCACAGACTATAAATAAACTATAAATAATCTGATCCGTATTAATGATGTAATAATGCATCAGCCACTAATATTGCCCAGACCTATCCTAATAACATCAGGTTTGATCTGGTTTTAACAACAGACAACCACAGGCTGGCCTGCTTAAACACATTTTTTTTCTTGAAGGCATCTCAGCGAAAGGTTTCCCCACCAGAAGGGAATTAAATTAAGGCTATGAAGCTCAACGATGAAACTTTCTGAGAAAGGATGTGCAATTAGAAAAATATGAACATTTCCTGTGAAAACCTGTAATTGTGTATTTTAATGCTTGTAACTATTTACATAATGGCATCACATTATATACCCTCGGTACAGTGGCCCGACTCGTACAGCACTTACGCCATTAGCTCTATTGATTTCCTGCTCTCCTTCATTCTAAATAAAGGAGGAATTCCACTAGACTGAACTTAGTCACTCAGCTGAAAGGTGAAGGCCAAAGCAAGGCCAATAAGCTAGTAACCAGAGTTGTGTGAGATTAGCAAACAGTTAACACACAGTGATTATGAAAGGTCTTGTTTCTGATTTGTAATGTATTTTCTGTAGACAGAGGTTAGGAAATTAGTCAGCAGTTCCTTTATGGGAATCATACAGAATAAAGGTTCTGCCGATTCATTCTTTGTTATTTGCTCCTCCTCTAGTCTGGCTTTTAGTTCTGCTAATATGTGTTGGAACGCAGTCATTTTTGGCATCAAAACGTAAGAATCTTCCATCTTTCTTGACTTTTGGCCTCAATAACATTTCTAGGTGCCTTTCTGCACTCGGGCCTGTTTGTACCTCTGCCAGACTCTCCATTTGTGCATCACAATAGTTTTTTTTTTGTTCTTGCTCTCTGAGGTGCATTATCAGGTCCTTAAAAGGTAAACTGCACTCCCAGCAAAAGCTTCAAGTCAATACCACTATACAACAAGACCTAGTAAGCAAGAATTGCCAGCAGGCTTATGGATAAAACACAAGAGCCATGAACCATGATGAGCTATAAAGGCCTGTGCAGTGAACAATGCAACCCAGTCTCATGGCAAATACTTACCTGGGGGCACATTTTTGCAAGATGCGAAATACGTAACAATAAGTACATATCACTGCAGTTTCCAAAAAAATGAACACCAGAGGCAGTAAAACTCCGACACCTTTTAAATTATTTTCACACAGAGTATGATTTACAGAGCTTCGATTAATCAAGCGTAATTTTCGCACAATTACTTGAAGAGTATTATGTTGTGACTTCAAAACATTTTTAATATGCTGGGAAATTTGAAAACTGATGCTTTTGAACGTTAGCAGCGCACATATCCAGCTTCATATTAATGGGTTTTCATAGACAATAGGTTTGATCGGTAGCTCACGGAGTACGAAGACGTACTTAAGAGGTGAGGAGCACCGGTTCGAATCCCGTGTAACTACGGTTCAACAAAACAGTTAAAATCTGCATATAAGAAAGTTAAAATGGCACGGTTGCATCAAAAAATTTGTTTTTATATCAGTTTTGCGTTTGTTAACACTATCGGGTAGGTTTAAGGTTGGGTTTGGTGTAAGGCATATTTCCAACACGATAGAGCATTAACTTTTAGCGACAGTACCCGGATATTTGAATTCTGAACCGCCGCAATACGTACCTGA